CCAGGCGCCCTCTACTATTTTAAGTTTGTGGGGGTGCTAATCCTCCAAGATTATGTCTGCTGACTTGTGCTTACAATGGATGGTTTTTGATGAGTCCACTTGTTTTTTCTGTACTGTAGGAATACGATGCGGCTTGGGCTGTGGGTTCTCCAACCAGGTTGCCAGAAGGTCTATGTGCTTTTATCAGCAATTTTCAAACTAAGATTCTCAGGCATTTAAAGATTTATATACTTGACATTTTGAGCTTTTAAAGATTTCATTTGAACACTGAAGGGATCAGTGGCTAATAATTCTTGCTGTTTTAAAATTCTATGTTCTATGTTTCCATGACAACTGAGAACACTCAACCACTAGCCCTGGAGCATTCTAGGAAACAGTAATATTAGTTACAATAACCAGTTATTGCCAACTACTTAGAGGCACATACAGAACATCATTCAATTCTCTCAACAACCCTAGGAAATGAGTACTATAAAGGTTATATAATTTAAGGTTGCACAGTTGGTGTGGGACAGGGTAAAATTCAAATCTAGACCTATCTGACACTAGAACCCAATCACTAATCCAATCACTTAATCACTATTAATTTATTCACACAACAAAAATTTACCGAGGAACTATTATGTGCCAAGATGTGTGAAGTGATAAGTATGAGGTTAACAAAACAGATATTTTTCCTATTTCAAATGATCTGTAAGGGGCCAGTTTTTATTTCCTCTTAACTTCCAATTTGTTGCAGACCAATATTTTTGTTAAAGAAATTAAAAACATTGTAGCAATGTCAAATTGCTATAAAAATTTCCCCTCGGGACGCCTGGGTGGCTCAGATGGTTAAGCATCTGCCTTCGGTTCAGGTCATGATCTCAGTGTCCTGGGATTGAGTCCCGCATTGGGCTCCCTGCTCAGTGGGGAAACTGCTTCTCCCTCTGCCTGTGGCTCCCCCTGCTTGTGCTCTCCCTCTCTCTCTGACAAATAAATAAATAAAATCTTTAAAAAAAAAAATTTCCCCTCAATTTTGTTTTCATCTCTCCATGGGCTGGTACCAAACAGTGTGCAGACCAACTCCCCCTGCAGGAACTTCTCTGCGGCACTGGTCTACTGGAAGACCACCTGGTGGGGGGCTCTGAGGATGACAACTGTGGGTGGATGATGAAGTAGAAAGATACTTTTTTTTTTTTAATTTATCTTTTTTTTAGAAAGATACTTCTGACAATGGTGGCTTCTCTGTAGGGAGCAAAAGCCTTCTAAAAGCATAATTGAAACCAATACTATACTATATGTTAACTAACTGGAATTTAAATAAAAATTTGAAAAAAAAAAGGGGGGTATAATTAAGTATTTTAGGTCACAGTCTGCCTAAGGAATATGCATGAAAAGGAGGTGGCAGGGTGGGGGGTGTAGATTGAGCAGATAGTGAAAAGGCCACATTATGGTCTAACTTTATAAAAATCTGACCATGGGCCGCCTGGATGGCTCAGTTGTTAAGCGTCTGCCTTCGGCTCAGGTCATGATCCCAGGGTCCTGGGATCGAGCCCCGCAGCGGGCTACCTGCTCCGTGGGAAGCCTGCTTCTCCCTCTCCCACTGCCCCTGCTGTGTTCCCTCTCTCGCTGTATCTGTCAAATAAATAAATAAAAAATCTTAAAAAAATAAAAATAAAAATCTGACCGTTTTCCTCGTGAAGATTGGCTACTACTACTTGCTTCCTCTGTCACTCTAGTTCTCTAACAGGGCAGGACAGCAGGTAAAGGGCCAGTCAGGAATACTAATTACAAAAGCTTATGGAAATTTATTTACATGTTTTCTTTCCTCACCACCTAGCAAACAACTGGATCATATCAGACACTGGGATGCTTAGGAACTAACAAGCACACACTTTAATATTATCCTAACTGAAGCAGTAAGATAAAGCTGCTGAAAAATCTTTCAAAGCAAAATGACTCATGGGTTATCTGCATCATTATTTTCTTATCATGGAAAGCAGAGAATTGATCACATACACAAAAACACTTATACTGAAATATAAAATAGAGACATTACTATCTTTTAAGAGTAATAAATACCACTAACTTTAAGATTTTAAAATTTATAAAGTTTTTTTTTAGGGGTGGCTGGCTGGCTCAGTCAGTAGAACAGCAACTCTTGATCTCGGGGTCATGAGTTCAAGCTGGGTCAAGAGCTTACTTAAAAAAAAAAAAAAAGAAAAAAGAAAACAAAAAATTCATTCCTCTTTAGAAGAAAGATTTCCCAGGAATAAGCTTCAAGGTTTGCCAAAACTTGTATTGGAGCAATTAAATGTCTGAAAGCATCTTACAGTTACTTCCATCTTAAAGCATCTGAGTAAGTTATGGTCACAACATTCAAGATTTCAAACTTTAAACTGCACTCTATCACTGTTAGACTCAGAACTACATTGTTTTCCTGCAATTGTGGTTTATTGTAATCTTAATCCATATTCTCAAAGACCATTCAACATATTTATACTATTCCAGTAATTACCATGCTACCCAGAAAAACCAATGAACACTTTATTAAGAATTAAATGAGGGCATGGAATGTGATACAGTACAAGACACCCCAGATGGATAGAATAGCACTACTCACACACAAAGTTAAATCTCACTTCAAAAAAAACAAAATCACAAGACAAAAGAAAAGCAATTCCATCATTATAAAGTAAGATATTTCATGCAAACACTCCAAAAAAATCCTCCCAACCACCCCCTAAGCCACCCCCAAACTGCCAACAAACAAAAAGCTATCTGAAAATACTGCCATGCTAACATATTAACCACAATGTAATCATTCATAGGAAAACAACACAGTAATTAAGCAATGGATTAGATGAAAGAACACAGGCTGCACTATATAAACTCAGAGACCTTGATGACTTTATGTGATAAGCAATTCCAGATTCACTTACAGGGGGAGTGGTATGGGCTCAATGTTGAGAGATATGTAAATATAAACTCCATTAACTCATCTCATTACCTTCTAATTATAAAATCGGGAAGCTTCCAGAATCTGAAAAATTATATAAAGTTTGGCAGACTCCACTTGTGTTCCAAGAAATTACTTTAGGATCATAACTGCAATTATTACAGAGCTGTATAAAAGCACTTTCAAGGTCAAAAACTGACCTCTTAAATAATGATCACAATTTACATTATAGAAACAACTCCAGATATGCATTTACTCTGATTAACTCTTACTTAGGACAAGAAACATGATTTTCTAGCACTTTATGTACAAGTTACTGTAAAGAGCCAGATAATTTAGAGATGGAATAAAATATAAAACAAAAGTGAACTGGTACATAGAGCGAAGGGGAACATTCTCACTTACAGAGACTTAAGTCAGTATAAACCTGCCTTGCCTCCTGAGGCAGCTAGAGTCAACAAACAGACTGCCAAGCTATATATAATTCATGTCTCTGTGCCAAGAAGCGTTAAGCCTATTTCATGGAAAAGATAGTTTTCCATCAGAAAACAGGAATGGCATTTTATGGGACAGCATTCCCCTCTACAGCTGCCCAACAAACCTGTCACCATGTGTGCACAAAGCATATTTCCAAGTGACTGTGAATGTCACAGTGAGGCTACCCAGGACCAGGAAGCACCGTGTCACAGCACCTGCCCATGCAGGTGACCTGGAGAGAACTGGGACACCCACATTTATTTCATGGTTCTGGGTTCAGCCTACTTATGGTGTACAGATTGGCTATAACAGTGAGGCCAAGGAAGAAGAACAAGAAAAAAATACTTAGGACAAAAAAAATGACCCACTCCCATTTGCTTTTTTTTCCCCTTTAGATTTAGGGTAATTAGAAAAGATTGGAAAATTATTCAGGATTACCCTTCCTACCTCTGAAATGTAACTTCCTATTTACACTCCACGAAAAGAATACATAGTTGCTCAGTGGCAGGATTTAGCCTCTAAAACAAAGAAGTACTCGCTCTAATTTTCACAAAATGAAATGAGAAAATTTTCCCATGTGAAACCCAGAAAAGAAGTGTCTTTAATAATCAGGAGGTTCATAGAGCTCTTTGGAATGTGTCTTATACATACAAAGTTATCACAAATTAAATCCCCAGAGTATTCATGAAATAAGTTCTTCAGTGGGAAAGATTCCTAATGAGAGATAAATGCTTCCATCAGCAAATTAAATCTGATAAATCAATCTTTCCCAACTGACAAAGTCTTTGTTAACAGCTTAACATAGACTCTGGAATCAAATGTAAAGTTCACTCAATCATAATGATGCAAGATGAAGTACAGATGTGCAGTACATATGAAAAAAATGTGTAAACCGCTGCAGTTCTAAAACAGATTTATATTACAAAGCAATGTAAATAAATATTGGGCTAGTACAAAAGCTCTTATTTACAGTTTTACAAATGAAATTGTATTCAGTGTAAATGCTGTGTTTTCAAGAACACAGTACTGTATTAGTAAAATGAGTTCTGTTGAGGGGATTACAATTTCTGTTAGAATCAATGCACAACATACAAAAGATTCAAGTTAACTTTGTTTATAATTTAGTACAGACAAACCCAGTTTAACCTGGAATGGCATCTGTTAAAGTGCTGAAAAACAGGAAATATTTAGAAAACACTGTACATTATTAAAGCTTTATCAAGTCAGAATGTTAAACTTCTTTCACATTTTTTATCCTTTTGCCACAGGCTTGTGGACAAGATGATATTTCTCAGCAAAGGAGTAAAATTTAAGAGGCCACCCGCTGCTTAGATGATTTTAGGTTCAGTGGATTTAGCTTCCTAAAACGACTATTTATCCATCAACCATACCTTCAGGCCTCATAATCTGGTAAGTAATTAAATATTCAGGATAAGCCTGGAAGAGAAAGATTAATTTAAATATTGGTAAACAAATTTTTTTGAAAGATGATTTTACCATAAGGATTCCTAATCTTTAGAGAAGAGGTTCTAAGTTAGTGTGTGGATCTGAATCATCTAAGGACATTTTCTTAAAAACATCCTTACCTTGATTTCAATCCCACTTAGGTTCCGAATAAGCAGGTCTAAGATGAATCCTAAGCATGTGCTTGTTTTTAGTAACTGAGGTGATCCTGCTACATATCCTCAGGTCAGAATACTGCTCTAGAGATGCTTTTTTTTTTTTTTTTTTAAAGATTTTATTTATTTATTTGAGAGAGAGAAAGAGAGAGAGCAGGAGAGGGGGGAGGGTCAGAGGGAGAAGCAGACTCCCTGCCGAGTAGGGAGCCCGATGCGGGACTCGATCCAGGGACTCCAGGATCATGACCTGAGCCGAAGGCAGTCGCTTAACCAACTGAGCCACCCAGGCGCCCCTAGAGATGCTTTTGACTGGATCTGTGTCACTAACAGCAAGAAGGAATTGTACGCTTCTTTGCTACAGACAGGTTAACTACTAAATACAGGATTCTGATTAATTATATTTTACAGAAGGTTAAAAAAAAGAAAAAGATCCACCAGAATTGGCAAAATCTGAATAAAGTCTGTAAGATAATAGTCTATCAATGGTATTTTCCCAATGTTGATAATTTTAAAAGAGAATGTCCTTGTTTTTGGGAAATACACACTGAAGCCTTTAAGGTTACACAGCAAACCTACAACTTCCTCTCCAGCAGTTCAGGAAAAAAATCTGTATTTGCACATATGCGGGAGAATGATAAAATGTTAACACTGGGAAAATCTGGGTAAAGGGTATACAGGAATTCTCTATTATTTTTGCTACTTTTCCATAAATCTAAAATTATTTCCAAATAAAAGTTAAAAAAAACCCCAACCCAGTTTTTAAGGCAATATGCCTTGTCAATTTAAGAGACTAGTAAGAAGTATGGCTCTAAATCATTTCTGAAGATGAACAAATAAAACTGAATTACCTGTTCTCCTCTGTAAATAACATATTCAGCTAATGCTAGACCATTTACGCTGGGTCGACCAGTGACTGAGTGATGTCCTGGAGGGGAATGTGCCATTTTCATTGCGCTGAACTGCAGGAAAGACTTTCCCAAGGTTACCCGGCAAAAGAGCAGTTGCCTGTAACAGGAAAAGGAAAAGATCTCCATGACAACAAGGAAGTACAGGGCAGTTTCATTTCTGTATGCTACCTAAGTTTTTTAATGTACTCAGACATAAACAGAGTTGGTTTTGTCATTTCATCCTTTAAAAAAACTTTGTAAGAATGTCTTCTACTACTCTCATTAATGAATCTGCCACTTTAATTCTTATGTTAACTATATAAACTGAAAATGTAACAACCTTATAGAGATGGAGGCTCTGATATCTTGTTGTACCCAGAGCAAAAGCACAAACCACAGCCCAAGTGGGAAGGAGGATTTAAGGGGCTCCCATGAAGTAACTTGCAAAGTTGGACATTTATCTAAGACATTTAACTAAGTCTAATTGATTCCACCTTCAAAATGTATTTGAAATTCATGTTCTTAATTCTATGGCTACTGTTAAGTTCAAATCACCAAAATTTTTACTTGGACTGGGAACAGGGGCGCCTGGGTGGCTCAGTCGTTAAGCGTCTGCCTTCGGCTCAGGTCATGATCCCAGGGTCCTGGGATCGAGCCCCGCATCAGG